GCTAAGTTGTGCAAGCTGCACTCAAACCTGTGATTCTCCTGCGTCAGCCTCTCAGAGTGCTAGGATTATAGGTATGTACCACCACACCCAGCTATTTCATCATTTTTAACATGGACATTTTATACATCAAGGAATAAAATATAAATAAAGCATGGTAGGGCATGCAGGCAATCCCAGCTACTCCAAAGGCTGAGGCAAGAATATCACAAGTTTAATCAAAAAACAGAAGGGGTAATATACTATTGTTAGTGAAAGTATTATTTTTTTCCTCTTAGAATTTTCATTTCATATTTAGAGAACTCTTTTAAAAAGACAGAGAAATGGATTTTTATTATGTTAATCTACTTTTTTCTTTCCATGTCATATTCACAGAGATCTTTCTAAAGATATTTAAGCCAGAAATTAAGATCAACAGAGACAGCATCCAACTCACAACTCAGTTAAATAACATGAACAGCTACAAAGAAGTCTGCATGAGGGCAGGCAAGGACAATTGTCATCACTGTTACTAGCTAACAGAAATTTTAAGACTCATACTGACTTCAGATTAAATGGGGAAAATGTAGAGTTCAGAATCAATAAAACTATCTTTCACCATGTATACATGTGTTTTCTCAATCAGCAAACTCCTAAACACAGAGTCTTACCTATTTTATACACTACACAGCCTAATGCAGTGTACTTTGGTCACTCTAGAAGTATATGTCAATGAAAGAATACAGTAAATGTTTATAACTGTCCTTGGCTACAGTTAGTAGGACCATACTAACTGGTACAAGGATATGTTTTTGAGTGATTTTGGCTTCAAGCTATCCTACTAGGTTTTATTTTCCAAGTCACTTCATTCTCTTTTAGAGAAGCATAAAAATTAATGGTAATCCCCTACGCATACCAGCAGGTTTGATTTTTTAGTGAAGATAAAAATCAACAAGGAAGCTTGCTGAAAATGTATATTCTCAAATGTCAGTAATTTCAACACAATAATTCTGTTTCAAGAGATCTGGAGAGGAGCTAAAAATCTACCTTTTGATAAAGACATACTGAAGCCCACTTCACCTGAGAATTTCACCAAAAGCTGCTCTTTAGCAACAACCTGTGGAAGGCCAAAGAATTACACCCTTCTCTCTGCACACCTGCATCTAAGAGTCAGTGATGGTGTGGCAGGCCCCTCCTACGTACCACACAGATCTGTTGCTGGGAAGCAAGTGGTTGTTCAGACCTAAAAGATTAAAAGACCTACAACAAAAGAAACACAAATTCCTGAATTATTTCACAGAGGAGAACTTCCTATCAACTATGAACATATGCATCAGAGTATTAAATGAATACAAATGAACTTCTATTCAGTTAAGTCACTAAAATTGTAGGCGTGCTTAAGCCGCAGCATCACCTTAATATATTACATATGTGTGCCTACTCACATACCAGAATAACTGCTTGCACATACATAATTCACTTAGTAAAACGCCCTGGACCGGGGATGTAGCTCAGTGGCACAGTGCCTGCCGAGCAAGAGCAAGGTCTTGAGTATAAAAAAAAAGTATTAAGAATCCATACTATGGCTCAATATATAGCTATGAGCAAAAACATCTGTATCCATATAGCCTTGAAAACTCAAGTTAACTGAAGCATGAGTGAAGAAGCACAGAGTTTCCTGTGGGAGGTACTTAGATGGGATAGGACAATCAAATAAAAATAAACACAACTTCCACCTCCAATCAGCATCCAATGAATAGGGTCAGATTTACCACCCACAGACATAACTAAAAAACTGGAAAAATATATGAAACAATTTTCAAGACATCAAACATAGTGCAACAAAAGATAGTGATCCTCCACAAATGAAGGGGAGTAAGGTAAGAACTAGATGATGATTTAGAGATCACGGTTTAGAAAAGTTTAAACCTGTTTTCCATGTGTTCTAGAAACTAGACCTGAGACTAATCATGTTAAATAAACAAAGCAAAATATAAAACTTATTCAAATCAAAGTCTGGAGATGAACAATAAGTGCATAGGTTTCATAACATAATGTATGGAAGTAACAGCCTAGAAACTGAAGAGGGAAAGAACAGTGACAATGACGACACAACAGAAACCACCGGGGCTGGGGATTTAGCTCAGTGGCAAAGCGCCTGCCTGGCAAGCGCAAGGTCATGAGTTCGGTTCCCGGTACCGGAGAAAACCAAAAAAAAAAAAAAAAACAGAAACCACCTACAGTGAAATGGAGGGGAAAAGATTTTTAAGTAAATGAACAGAACACCAGTAACTATGAGACAATTTTTCACAGTCTAATGTGTATGTAACAGGGATCCAAAATAAGGGGGGGGGGGTTTAATGGGAGAATGTGAAACTTTCTGATGAAGTAATAGCCAAATATCCCAAATTTTATGAAAACTGACAAGGTACAGACTCAAAAAGCTCCACAAATCCCAATCACAAAAAAATTGACAAAAACTGCATCAAGACAAATCACAATCAAACTGCTTACAGGAAACTCTCAAGAGCAGCCAGAAAGAAAAAATATCACATAGAAAAAAACAAAGGTAAGGATAACAGCAGACTTCTTGTGAGAAACAACACATGCTGTGGAAGGCACTGGCTCAACATTATTGAAAGGAAAAAAAAGCCACCAACCTAAAATTCTTTACCTTATAAAAGTAAACAGAGAGCTTTTCAATACAAAAAGCTACAAGAATTCACCAACCACAAACACAGACAAGTGTTAAAGCAGGTCCTTCAAGCAGCAGGAAAATAGTATCAGCCGAAAATCTAAACACACATGAAGGAAGGAAGAGTACTGCAAACAGTAGGTGTGTGGACACCAATATAAAGAAAAATAAAGATTCTCATTACTTAAATCCCTTTAAAAGCTAACTGTTTAATATAAAGATAATAACAATGTATTGTGAATATATGTAGAAACACATATGTAGAAATATATGGAAAATATCCCACCTACTTTCCTAGGTTCTTACACTGTATGTAGGGTAATACAGTATATCACTGATAGGTAGGTAGAAATAAGTGAAAGATGTAGACTATAAATGTTAAAGTAATTACTAAATTAACACAAAAAAATACACAGCCTACAAGCAAAGAAGGTAAAATGAAACAAAAAAATAAAGAATATAAAAGAAGGCAAAAAGGAGGAAAAGGGGAAAAGGATCAGATGAAACAACAAAATAAAAACACAAAAAGGATGATAACAGATTTAAACAAATCATATGAATATGACATTAAATGTGAATGAAATATACCAATTAAAAGGCAGAGATCAGAAAGGATAAAAAAGCAAGGTTTAATGATAGCTTACCCACAAGAAACTCACTTTAAGTAGAAAAAATATGTTAAAAGCAAAGGATGAAAGAAAAAAAAAAACTACCTGGCCTGTTTTAAAGAAGTAATCAGAATTTAAAAATGGCTGCTGACATAGTTTTGACTCTCAAGATGATTTAAATCGGGAAGTATTTTCATATTCAAGAGTTAGTTCTCGTCAGGATTTAAAACCTAAAAATGTCAAACTATCTTGTACTTTCCATAATAACATTCACCGTATATAGGTACGTATACATTATTTCAATTATCTCAACAGTACCTGTTTCAAAAGAAATTTCCAGCTGAGCTAAGAGATTAGCAATCTACTCTCAACAATAAGTGAATAAAATATATTTTCAAAGATGGATATATATACAGATAGCTTGCTTCTTTATAATCTATGATTTCACTAAAATACTATTTATCAAGACAATGAAGTCTAAGCCAAATGGTAAAGGTAAAACGTTACCACATCTCACCACATCCACTCCCTCTGGTAGAAGATTTAAAAGGCTATCCATTTTTCTTCCTGATAAAGTGTACTTTAACAAAAAGTGTTAACATATCTGCATGGCTGTTTAAGCATCCGTGATTCACTGACGCACTTAGAAAGAGATACTGTATTGTATTATATTATGCTGGGCACTGAGGATTTAAAAATGTTATGCCCTTGAGAAACAACTATGGTAGGGTAAGTACAAAATACATGTTTGTCATACAGTATGCTGGAAACACCTATGGAATATTCATATCATCATCTCAATTTTCTAAATGTATCTTTCTATTTTTACCAAGGCTGCCAAATTTATGTATATAGAGTTGTTCATATTACTTCCTAACTGTACTTTTGATGTCTGTAGGGTCTGCAGTGATAGCCCATTTCACTCCTATTGCTATTAATCTGTATCTTCTGTTTTTGGGGGGTGTTTTTGTGTTTTGTTTTGGTGTTTTGCTCAGTTTTGCCAGAGGCTTGTGAATTTTTTTTGAGGAACCAGTATTTTGTTTCATTCATTTTTTTCTTGTCAATTTTATTGATTTCTGGTCTTACGATTATTTCCTCCCTTCTACTGTCTCTGGTTTTATATAACTATCCTTTTCAAGTTCCTTAAGTGGAAGCTTACATTGTTCATTTGAAATTTTTCCCTCTTTCCCATGCTATACATTTCCTTCTGACATTTAAGGACAGTCTTAGAAACAGTAAGATGTGGCCAACAAATTGTAAAGACCTGGTGGAAAACAGGACAATTTACTAAGAAAAGAAAATTCTCTAATATAAGATAGAAAATATGCAAACCCAGCAAAATAACCAAGGTTATGCTACTAAAATAATTCCTCAAAACAAAATAAATTATACTGAATGACTGCATAAATGACTATGGAGTCAATCATGTATAATGAAAAAATCCAGCTATGGAGTATAACCCACTAAATGTGCATTACATATAATGTAAGACAAAAGAAGCCAATACAGGGGTTACAGAAGAGTTTCAGAATCTCATTTTTCCCCTTAGTTATCTTAGACGGGGCTTCCCAACCAATCTCACAGATTCCCAAATGCCATGAAACAGAGCTGAGGCTGAGCATATGTGAAAGACAAGTCTAGGACTGTAATGATGATGCTTATAAGCTGTCTTACCCCCATGGCGAAGTAATTTCTAAAGAATAAAAAAAAATTATTCTTACCCTTTGAGCTTTTGCAAGTTCTTCTTTTAATCTCTCATAGCCTTTTTCTCTAACTTCCAGAACAGATGGGCTTCGTAAACGGGACAGACTATCCGTACTCAAGCCAAAAATATCTTCAGTGCCAGCACAACCTTCTGTGACTGTAGCACCCTGTAAAAACTCCCTCTCTGCATTACAGCTGTCCTTCCTTGTAGTTACTTTAGTTAGCCCAGATGAAACTCCTGAGGTAACACAAGATGCTGGGTCTGTAACATGAATGCTGTAAAAGAGAGAATTGGTTTTTCAGAAATCAGCACATGCTCAATAGAAATGGCACAAACCATAGCTTTCAACTGCACTATCCAATTTGGTGGCCTCTATACTTAATTGACAGCAAGTCTTCAGTTACACCAGCCACAACTCAGGAGCTCAACAGCCACATGTGGCTAAGGGATATCACATATATTACCATGGAAAAAGAACATATTTATCACAGACAGTTCTACTGGATAGTGCTACTCTAGAAGAAGGGTCAGCAAACTAAAATCTGTAGGCTAAATCAAGTCAGCCACCTGTTTTCTTAAGTTACTTGAGGCCAGTAACAGTTACGTTTTCAAATGGTTGAAAAGAAACTTTAAAAAATAGTACTTTGTGGTATAGGAAAATGTTATGTAGTTCAAAATTCTGTGTCCATATATGAAGTTTTCTGGAACACAGCTACATTCATTCATTTGCACCCTGCCTGAAGCTGCTTTCACACTCTAAAGCAGCAGAATTGAACAGCTGGGACAGAGACTGTATGGTTGGCAAAGCTTAAAACATTTACTACCTGGCCCTTATTTAAAGTGGGCCAATCACCCTCCACAACATTGATACATATTGCTCTGCATGGGCATGCTTATATTATTCAAATCTTCTAAAACAGTAAAAGTTAAGGTAACCAAGCAAACTGTTCATTTTTTAAAAAACATTCAAAAATAAGTGCTTTCACTGTGGAAATCAGTGTGGAGATTCCTCACAAAACTAGGACTGGAAGTCCCACTTAACCTAGCTATTCCCCTTCTGTATTTTTCCAGAAGAATTAAAAACATCCTACCACAGCAATACATGTGCACCCATGTTTACAGCAGCACAATTTGTCATAGCTAAATCTTGGAAACAACCCAAATGTCCATCAACTGAGGAATGCATAAAAAAGATGTGGTATTTTTATACAATGGAACATTACTCAGCTATAAAAAAGGATGGACTCGAGACTTTTATAGGTAAATGGATGCAACTAGAGACCATACTAGTAAGTGAAATAAATCAGACTCACATGTTTAAACACCATATTGTCTTTCTAGTGTAAGAATCTGCAAGAGTAAATAAAACTCAAAACGTATAACAGATATTACAAAAGGGAAAGAAACTGCTCAAAGGAAGGAACAACTGGGATGAGGGAAAGGAGAAAAAGAAAGTAAGGGAGAAAAAAATATAGATATATGTATACAAAAGGATAACTGGGATAATTATACTACTGATACATAATGGTTTATTGAAAGGAACAGTTAATGCCTAATTTTTTTTACTTTCTGACCAATTTTGCATGCTTATATCTGGTAATCTGAAAAACTAATTTGAAGACAACAATATGCAATATAACAACCATTGGTAAATTTCTACCATCTTGTCTAGTGAAACTCTGTATCGCTTCTGATGTATTTTTGTTTTTATTTTTTATTCTATTCAATAGTTTGATCAATCTTGCATTCTTACATCTGGCAATTTGAGCAACTTTGTTGAAGATAACAATATGTGATATAACAACCAGGCCAGGGATATAGCTGAGGGGCACGAGTACCTGCCTGGCAAATGCATGGTCCTAAGTTCAATTCCTGGTACAAAAAAAAAAAAAAAAGGTAATATAACAACCACGGTTAATTCTTATCATTTTGTTCTGAAACCCTGTATCATTTTTATTGTTTTTGCTTTTTGTTTTTGTCTGTGTTGTTAGTATTTTACTACTGTTCTTTTTTTATTATTCTCTTTAAAAATAGAAAGAAAGGAAGAAAGAAAGAAAAAAAATTAAGTGCTTTAATCTCTTACCTGATATTAGATATTTCCACACAGTTTAAATGTCTGGGGGATGAATATACAGGTTGCGTAGGAAGATCAGAAACATCCAGTGCATTAGCCTGGACAGGAACAGAGCATAAAGCTGAAGGATGTGGCCGGTAGATGACACTTGGTGAGGTAGTCTGCTCCTGAGTCCCTGATTCATACACACTAAGAAGGTCCGGAGAAGTAGGTGAAGCAAGGTTTACTTCATGGAAGCCTTCCAAGGGGTCATTAGCCATAGCAAAACCTCATTATAAAATAACCTATATTAAAACAAAAAGCAGATTATTTTTAAACGGCTATGTTTAGAACTGAATTAAGATGTATAAATTATAAAACATATTTAATAGCTCATAATAAAATATAAGGTTACGATAAAATAGTAAAAGAAAAAACCTTGCTATCACTTAACATTTATGACAAAACCTCACAGTATAAACACTACACAAGGCAAACAAGCTGATTTGAAAGAAATTTGAAAAAGATGTCTAATATTAAGTATAATTAATCAGTAAATATGAGGAATTAATAAAACTTTGATGTTTTTATTTTTGCTATTATCTGTGATCCTGGTTAGAAAAAGCAGAAAAGGCAGGGAAGATATACATACACATACACAAGCACACTTAGAATAACAGACTTAAATTCAACTAACTGTTCTGCTCTGCACCACAGTAGCTATGTGACTGTGGCAAGTCAGTATTTTTTTATTGTGAAATAATTTTAAATTCACTTAGGAATTGTAGACCTCCTGGATACCATTCACCCACATTATCAAACTGTTAGCATATTTGAGAATGTTGCAGACATGACACTCACTAACCCTTAATGTCTCAGTATGTAGAAATTCTGTATCCTAAGTACAAAGACACTCTCTTATTTAATCACAAATAATCAACAAATACTGGATGTAACCTGATCAAAATTATCATCTAATAGGCAGGTCTCATTCAAATATGTCACTGGTTCTTCTAATAATGTCCATTATTGGTCTAAGATCCAATCCTGGATAATATGCTACATTTCCCTACACCTTAAATCCCTCCTCTGATAAGATGAGAATGAGGATAATGCCATTCCTTCCTGTGTCCTGACTGCTATAAGGATCAAGGGAGACAATCAATTAAAGTACTGAGTAGAATACTCTGTACCTAGTACATAGTATGGTCTCAATAAACACATTACAGCCATTAACAAGTATGCTTTAGTTTCTCTGTTAGCAAACTATATTTTATACAGCTATTCAATTACATTACACAGTTAACATGAAAACTAAGAAGTGTCCTCCCAAGTTTTTCATTTGAAGAATCTAATGCTAATAATCTTATAAATCCTTTATTGACTCCCTACTACCTACAGAATAAGTCCAAACTTACTACACTGAAAAGTATTTTTCTATGATCTAAACACATCTCCTAGTTTTTCTTTCCTACAATAGTATTTTGAGGATCATGAAAGATCCTTCTCAGAACTTCGAAGTTCCCAGACACAATCAACCGTACAGTATGTATTCTTCCATAAAATACAGATATTCATTCACTTGCTAATTAAAAGTTTTAACTTTCTCATATACTCAATGAAGTATTTAAAATGTCAAGTAGATAGCTATAAAGAAAGATAAACTCCAGGTTTTTAAAGGTAAATGGATGCAACTAGAGACCATACTTGTAAGTCAAACTCATCAGACCCACATGTGTAAATATTGCATTGTCTCCCTAGTGTAAGAAACTGAAAGAGTAAATAAAATCTGCAAGGTACAAAAAATATTGTAAAAGGGAAAAACTGCTCAAAAGGAAAGAACAACTGGGACGTGGGAATGGAGAAAAGAAAACAAAACATAATATACACATATACATATACACACAAAATAGCTAAGATACTACTAATTTCTATTGGTTTATTGAAAGAAACAGTTAATGCTTAATTTTTTAAATCAATTTTGCATGCCTAGAGCTGGTAATCTGAACAACTACTTTGAAGATAACGATGTGCAATATAACAACCATTGTTGATTTCCTATCACCTTGTTTTGAAATTCTGCATTGTTTTAATATTTTTTATTTTTCATTCTCTTTAAAATAAAAAACTCAAGTAGTCTGAAACCATATATAAAATATATAAATATATATAAATGATGATATACATAACAATATATGTAATGATGATACACACTGATATATAATTGATAAATATAAATGATAAAACAAAATTAAGTTTTAAAAAATAATCCCCCCCAAAAAAGCAAGATATATGATTACAAGTACAAATTCCCTATGATGAATGTTATCTTTATGTATGTCTAAATGTACCAATAAGAAAATAAAATAAATTTCCTATGTCAAAGGGGAAAAACAATAATCCCTAAAACAAATAAACCTAACAGTATACTGAGATGGTACCTTAACCACATGCAACAGAATTACTTCAAGTGACCTTAAAACACAGTAATACAAATACAAATTTCTAATGAAATGTATTCTAAGGGCAAAAGGAAGTAAAAATAAAACCAAAAACTACTTTCAGTGATCACATTAGTAGCAACACTGACAGTTATTCTGAAACCTTTAGACATAAAATGAATCAAGTAAGTTACATTAGTGTAATTTGGAACAAAGATTTTTTAGCATATGAAAAAGACACAAATATAAAATCAAAGAAGTTTAAATTCTAGAATCTTAAATTTGAATAAGAAATACCAGAAAAAAATTTCTATTTTAAAATATTCCTAACTTTATTTGATGAATAAGCACAGCAACACTGATCAACTCAAGAGTGACAGGTACCAGTGTACTCAGAGTAACACCATTTTCTACAAAAAGAATAAGGCTCCTTGGAGAAAGGGCTAACTCCAGGCCTGGGGCAGTAATGTACAAAAGGATCCCAGAGCATCTTGTTATACCAAGAAGCAAGAAAACTATCAAAAACCATTAGTGTGGGGGCTGGGGATTTAGCTCAGCGGCAAAA